TGCCTCTTTTTATTTAACCTTCCCCATACACTCATTCAGAAATGTTTGCCAACACCTTATAAGGAAATTATTTGGGAGAAAATCAAAAGTATGTAATTCCTTAAAAGTCATTATATTTATTAATAAAAACATTAATAGTGTTTAATACTTTGACTGTGAGGATCTTAGATCAGCTAAAGCAACACAATGTAGTTAACGTTTAAAAAGTAATGTCTAAAGCTGAGTGTGGTGGCACATGCCTGTAATCCCAGCACTTGGCAGGCTGAGGCAGGAGGATTGCTGTGAGTTCCAGACCAACCTGGGCTACACAGTGAGTTCAAGATTGGCCTGAACTGCATAGTGAGACCTTGTCTCCAAAAAGAAAAAAAGAAAAATAGAGAACAACTTTTTTCTTAATTAAAAACGAAGGTGTTGGGTTTGGGCAGAGGTGTATTCAGTCCCTGGCAGGTACTTTCCTACCTTCCTGAGGAGGTGACGCTTTGTAAACAATGTGCACTGACTTGGAGCCAAAGGTCCCAGGAGCTGAGCAGCTTTCCTTCTCATAGCCTGCGGGGTGGGTGATGGCTCAGCAGCACCTCTTGGTGACCCAAGGATGACAGAAGTGACACATCCCGTCAGGGCCTCAGGCAAAATGCACTCTAGGGTTTATGATTTTAGCTGCCATGTGAGTTTTCTGAAAATCAAGGTCTGGATGTCATATTCAGGTTCATAGGGGGGCGGGGAGATAGCTCAGAGGCACAGCGCCTGCCTGGCAAGCGCATGGTCATGAACTTGATTCCCGGTACCAAAAAAAAAAATTTATTGGGGGTCTACAATTTCCCAGTCACGAGGTATTTTATTAATTGCCACAAGGTCCCATAAACTAGGCCTGCTGACCTTGAGCTGCACACGTGTGGGTGTCACTGTGCACATATCAGATTGTGACCCTGTCAGGTGACACAAGACTGTACTCCCTTGTGATAAAACACTGAGAATTAAAAAGAATACTTTTTTTTTTTTCTCTGGTACCGGGAATTGAACTCATGACCTTGCGCTTGCCAGGCAGGCACTGTGCCGCTGAGCTAAATCCCCAACCCCTAAAAAGAATACTTTTAGAAAGCATGAAGAGAAGAGCTCTTATTTCGTGATATAGTTTAAGCAACTCAGAAGTTCCCACTGTTGGGTTTAGGTTTATGGACATGATAATCTTATTTAAAAATCACTCCTTTTAGGCCAGTTAGAGAGGAGACTGAAGAGTCACGTGAGCACATTTACAGAACCTGCCTTTGAAGCAACAGTGTATAATCACGCACAAGGAAATATACAAAAGAATCAAAATAAGTACTGGTATTTCTCTCTTTCCCTTTCTGTATGTTTTATATGATCACTATAGTTCAGTAACTACCAGGCCAGGGATGTAGCTCAGTGGCACAAGCACCTGCCTGGCAAGCACAAGATCCTGAGTTTATTTCCTGGTACCAAAACAAAAAAAGAAAAAATGGCCAGGCATGATGGCGCATGCCTGTAATCCCAGCACTCAGGAGGCTAAGGCAGATAGATTGCTGTGAGTTTGAGGTCCACCTTGGCTAAAAAGTGAGTTCAAGGCCAGCTTGAACTGCATAGTGAGACCCTGTCCAAAAAAAAAAAGAAAAACAAAAAAAACCCTGTCTCAAAAAGGCAAAACAAGAGCAAAAGCTATTGACAGTTATCTAACTCAAAGGACAAGTAGTGACTGGAAAATTAGGTAGCATTTCCCAAGATTTCAGATTACAGTACTGTTATTTTTTCCAGGAGCACTTTACTAATACTTGCTAAACAAGTATTAGAAAATATTCCCCTGAAGTCATATTTCTACTTGTTACGAGTCTTACCATTTTAAAACAATACAAACAGCAGTTTTATAGCATATGCCTGTAATCCGAGAGGCTGAGGCAGAAGGGTGGCAAGTTTGAGACTAGTCTGCACAATTTATCAAGACCCCCTTCTCTAAAAAAAAAAAAAAAACCAACTGAGAATGTAGCTCATTTGTAAAGTGCCCCTGTGTTCAATCCCCAGTATCACAGAAGCCATTCTCTGAGGACGTTCACTGCAGCATAATTTGTACACGCACAGAAATGGGGAGATTAGGTCAGTAATGTTCAGGGAAGACACTTGTATGTTCATAAACACATGAACATGTGCGGAAGTCAGATTACACACCAAACTTTCCGCTGGGAGGTGTAACAGGAGGGAACTCTTACCATCTCTATTTCTGTACCAGAAGAATTTAACATTACGGGAGGCTGGGGATTTAGCTCAGCGGCACAGTGCCTGCCTGGCAAGTGCAAGGTCATGAGTTCGATTCCTAGTATGACAAAAAAAAAAGAAAAAGAAAATTTAAGATTACGTATTAATTAAAGAAAAGCAATTACAAAGGAGAACAATGGTGCGTATGAATGTATGTATATATATATATATATATATATATATATATGTATATATATTTTTTTTTATTGAGACACGTTCTTGTCTATGCAGTTCAGGCTGACCTTAAACTATGTTGCCCAGGCTGATCATAAACTCCATCCTCCTGCCTCAGGGTCCCAAGTGCTGAGATTACAGGTGTGAGCCACCATGTCCAGCTGGTACATGTATTTTATATTTTACAAGAAGTTTAAAGAAAACTACAAAGCTCATACTTGATCTGGGTAGGATTTTATCCTGTACATAGGTAGGAACTTCTTTTATAAATGAGTTTGGGCTGGTTATTTATAGAAATCTAAAGTGACTAATTATTCTACTTTGCCTGCAAAAACAGACGGCCCTTAAGAGTACAAAGGTCCAATAGTACCAGCTGTTTTAGCTTAATCTGGCACGTCCATGTGACGGAACAGGCATTTATGCACCGTGATCCTGAAAACAGCAAAGCACCTGTGCGGATGCGGATCCTCCAGCTCCTCTGCACCGGGACCCCATGCACCTTCACTGGTGCTTTTTTTTCCCAGTACACGTATAGAAATGGGGAAATTAGGACAGTAATGTATGTGCTTATTATGAAACCTATTCAGCTAGTGAAAACAGTGAAGAACACCCGTTATGTACCTCCACGCAACAGCACCACAAATGAAAGCCAAGCGGCGTGCGTCCTCACTCTCGTTCAGGGAGGACACTGTGAGACTAGGGTTGTAGTGTCTGCCTAGCAAGCCCTAGGCCTTGGGTTCAATCCCTGATCCTATGGGGTCAGGGACTGCGAGAGGCTCTAGGACAGCAGAGCACTCAAAACCACAAGAACTGCATGAGCATGGCGGCAGACCCCTCCCTTAGCTCCTAGCTCCTCTACTGTCCCCGGGCCTGAGCCGGCCTCACTTTCTCACCCCTCCCTTAGCTCCTAGCTCCTCTACTGTCCCCGGGCCTGAGCCGGCCTCACTTTCTCACCACTTACCTCCCTCTGTCGGGCTCAGTATGTGGCTAATGCTGGTGCTGCTTGGGATCTTCATTTCCTTATGAGGGCTCCCAGGCCGGTGAAAGTTGTGTAAGCAGACCTGTAGACTTTTCCCCAGTCTACCTCATGGGACTCTTATTTCTGAACCTACGGGACCCTAAGAGAATGGATGTAGCTTTGCTCCTCCAGCCTCCAGATAAAGCCCATTTCAGCCAACCTTGGGTCAGTCTCTCGGACCCTAAGAACGAGACAGCTGAGATGGCCCGACACCCGACCGAGGAGCCATGAGAACCACTATACCTGGCTGTATTTCTTCCTGTTTTCCTATTATCTTCCTTCCCTCCTTGCACTCTTTCCTTCCCAAAGCTGGGAACTGAACCCAGGGTCCTGGCACCAAGCTACATCTCTAGTTCTTTTTTTAGTTTTGATTTTGAGACAGTCTTACTAAGTCACAGTTGCCCAGGCTGGGCTCCAGACTGGCATCCTTCTGCCTCAGTCTCCTAGAGTGCTGGGGTTACAGGTGTGCACCACCATGCTGAAGGGTTAAAATGTGAAAAGATCTTTCCTGCTCACAGCAGTGCTGCGCCTTGTTTTGGAGATCAGTCGTCGGACACGTGGCGGAGCGTCCTGACACGAGAGCGCTGGTGGCCGGGCCGTCCGCCTGCAGGGACAAGCCCTCTCTGAAGCACGGGTGCTTAGCAGCTCCCGGAGGCTGCGCACTCTCTGCGCACCTGGTCACACACACAGCTGCCTCTCTGCCCTTTCCTTCTCACTGCTCACCCCAGTCAGTGCCCCGAAAGCTGTCCTGGGACTCCCCAGCGGGGGCTTCAGGAGTCCGTACTTCCCCCATCTGGTGACGGGACTCTTTGTACTCTTGCTTTCTTCTGTGTACTTGTGGGTATGTTAATCAACAGTTTATGAAAGTTTCACTGTATTTACCTTGGTGTTAGAGGCTTTTGTTGTTCACAAATCTGGACCTCTAAATGAAGCAGCAGCAACTGTAGACTTACTAAGAATACACATGCCTGGTTCTATTTTTGAGTGTGTTTTTTGTTTCTTGAGACAGGGTTTCACTATGTAGTTCAGGCTGGCCTTGAACCTGTTGCAGTCCTCCTGCCTCAGCCTCCCAATTGCTGGGATTATAGGCATGCACCACCACATCCAGCTCCTATGCATTTTCAATTTCACATTTCAGAGACAGGAACTTACCATTTTGCACTGAAATCGGAAAAACTAGAATTAAATTTTTTATTTTAAAATATATTTAACAAAAATATCCCATAGTTTTACATATGTTACATCTGTAGAGTATTTACAAATTCACTTCCACAGCATTTACTTGACATTGACGATTCTTCCCATTTTTTGCCTCTTGGTCTATTTCCTTCAGTAGTGAAATGCTGTCCAGTGTGCTCTGTCACTAAAAGATGAGCTTCTTGGGCAATACCCCTAGGAAGCAAGACCAAGACAGGGTCGTTTACACGAGGCTCACAGTGAGGCAAAAGCCCCCAGCCCAACTCTGCCACTCTTGCCGGCCAATGGCCTTCCGCACATAGCGCCCGCGGGTTAGTGAGGGGTGCAGGCACATGTGGACTCACTCACACTCCAAGACGTGTTCTCCATGCAAGCAAACACCGGCACATTCTATCCACTTCACGCAATGCACATTTATAGAAGTTAAGAGCTCACAAGCTTTATTTCTTAGCTGCCCTTTAGTCATGAGCCATATATGAACTATTTGGAGCCTTCTAAAGTCATTTCCCTAAAAGTGGGCACTCTTACCTTGTTCCAAGGGCTCTGTTCTTTTCCGTTTTGCCGCCATGGCTGGGTTTGACTGCTCCTTCAAGGCTTCCACCGGGCAGTTCGGTCTTGGCAGCTGACACCCAGGTGCGGGCCCTGGCCGATTGCTGAAGTATGGAGTTTTTAATGCCTTTTCCAAGAAAAGATACCAAAGCAAGGTTTTCTGTGAGTATCTTGGACTGTGCAGAAAACCTAGCCTCAGAAACTGTGGAGAATATTCAAAACACTACGTGATTGCCCCTTTCCACAAATGAAGAAAAACTGACGTCAAATATTTGGGCGTGCACATTACTACAAATAAATATCCTGGCTGGAAACCCCACTCCTGTAAGAAAGGAGACTCCCTCCTAGCACCTCCACAGCTCCCCGGCTGTGCCCACAAAGGACTATCCTCAGCCAGACATCGTACACCTTGGTTCTCTAAATATTATGAGCTCTATAGTTCAACATGCAGAGAAACTTGCTTCAAAAGAACATGTAAGTTTGTTGCAGTGTGTAAATATATTCAAAGGCTAGATCACAGAAATATAAATTCCTAAAAATAAGTCTCTCTGATAAGTAATAGGTTGGAACCAAAGGGTTCCAATCCAACACTCAATCTACTATGAATAGACAGAAATTTTTAATCTTGGGTGACCCAAGGTTATTTCTATTGATTACCAGTCCAATGTTCTGTATTTTCTTTACTTGGGTCCAAAATTCCAATAAACCTAGCTTCATCCTAAAGGACCAGTTTGTCAACATGGTACCTGTCACCTGTCTATGCACACACTGCAGAGTACCGTCCAAAACGGTTTCCTTTAGGACGATCCTTAGAAAAAGAAGCCTGTACCCTTTTTTCTCCAGCACTATGAACTGAATCCAGGGTCTTCACGTTGAGCTATGTCCCTAGCCCTTTTTTTAAATTCTGAGACAGGTACTTGCTCAGCTGCTGGACTCAAAGAAGGGATTCTCCTGCTTCAGCCTCCCAGAGTGTTGAGATTACAGGCATGCGCCAGCACGCCCACATCAACTTCACATTTACAGTGATGCTTCAGAATGTCCTTAAAGACTTGCGTTTATTATTTTTAAGTCTTAGCAATAGGTAAGGTGTAAGTAAATGAAGTCATAGGTAAATTGAGCTAATTCTGGACACCCAGAGCTCTAAGAAAGGGAAAGTATCTCATTTCAACTTTAACCACGAGAGCAATACCAGTTTTAAAAAACCCTGCCAGGCTGTGGGTACAGCTCAGGGAAAGTGTGTACTCATCATGTGCAGCTCACCCCAGCAGAGGAAAAGAGTTCTATCAAAGTAAAACCCGACGCAACAAAGGCACAGCCACGCTGCGTTACCACAGCCAGTGTGTTTTACGTCATACTACTAACGAAAGCAACTTTCTAGATGATTTTATGTAGTCTCTCTGATGATGTAAATAATATGTATGGGTGAAAAGGTAACAGTAACTTTACAGTACTTGTTTGAAAGTAGAAAATTCTAATTGTGAAATCTCCAACAAGTGCTCACTAATATACTGCATACTGCTAGGAAGGAAAAGCTTATTTATAAAATTAAAGACACCTAAATAATAATTTGGAAGTCAGCAAAAAAAAATCCAAAAACAAGAGGAACTCCCAGGCATGGTGGTGCACGCCTGAAATCCCAGCACTCTGGAGGCTGAGGCGGGAGGATCGCCATCAGTTTGAAGCCAGCCTGAACTACACAACAAGACCCTGTCTGAAAAAAAAAAATACTAATAATACTTTGGTAGTTAGTAACAAACCTCAGGCGGTGTGTGTGGGGGTCCACTTTGCAATCTTGATATATTATGCACTGATATACTTTGTTAGATATAAAGACCTGTGACTTCCTTTTTCTTTTACTGGTACTAGGGAATGAACTCAGGGTGCTCTACCAACGACCTATATCCTCAGCCCTATTGAAGATTTTGAGACAGGGTCTATGCTGCCCAGAGTGGCCTTGAACTAGTGATTCTCCTGCCTCAGCCTTCCAAGAAGCTGAGACGACAGTGCAGTAGTCGGTGTGCAGCAGCAGTGTGTGCTCCCTGGTCTCTTCTTTCACGAGGTCATGTCACTGTGCTGCGCTGCCGTCTGCCCTGCTCTGCTCCTCTTAAACGTTCGGGACCCTATTGTTTCTGGTGTGCGTGACTCTAAGTCCGTCCCCACGTTTTCATCGGCGCATGCTGGTCACACATCTCGGCCGGCTTATTTCGGGAGATGTGCACACGCGTGCGACACATGTTAATCCCCCCCCCTCAGCCCACCTTGCCCCATTGTTACCCCTAGTTTCACGTTTCTGGGGGCACATCAATATGTATGAGGCGTTTTAATCATTGTTACGCCCCCTGCTACCCTAACCTTGCATCCTTCTCCCCTCCCCCGCTTCTCCCTCTGGTCTCCTTACAGTCTCCCTTCTACTTTGCTGTGAGCCTGTTCAGATTCCACATGTGAGGAAGACTTCGCCAAAAAACTCGGGGGGCGGGGCGTGTCTTGGGGACCCAACCAGGATGCCCTGTATGCTACTCTACTAATGAACTATGCTCCCCGGCCCAATTACAGGTTTGATAAAAGCATCTGCATTGTTTTAAGGGCTGGGCATGTAGTTGAACGGTAGGCTGTACTCCTAGCAGCATAAACAGGGCTCTGGGGCCAATCCTCAGCGCTACAAACATAAAAACAAGCAAACAAAAAACCACAGGTCTTGTATTTCTGGATTGCATAACTGCATTTATTCATTCATTCATTTTTTTTCTCTCGCTTCTTTTAAGGGTAGGTATTGCTGGTATTCCAAATTCTTGAGTTTGATACTTAGTTCTTTTGTGTGTGCTTAGGGGTGAGTACTAAGGATTGAACCAGGGCCTTTACAATGACCTACATGCGCCTTCCGCCCTGCCCCTTTATTTAAATTTGTCTTTTTGACACAGGGTTTCACTATGTAATTCAGGCTTGATCTTCAACTCACTATGTTTATGTCTCCTCTCCTACAAGAGGGAGGGGAGAAGGGAGAGGGGGAGGAGGCATGTAAGGGTTAGGATCCAGGCCAGTCTGAACTTCATAGTGAGATCCTGTCTCGAAAAAACAAAAACCGGGGCTGGGGATTTAGCTCAGCGGCAAAGTGCCTGCCTGGCAAGCGCAAGGTCGTGAGTTCGGTTCCCAGTAC